TAGGCGTCTTCTTGAATTGCTCTGGACACTATGCTCGTTCCCAAATCCTATCTCTTCTTCATCTTCTCCTTCTGCTGCCTCCTCTACCATCTTCTTTAGCGTTGTTGGCCAATTTTCTTGTGGTTGTAGTAGGAAGTCTGGTCCTGTCCACCACCAATGTTCTTGAAACTCTTCTTTGGTTGCGCCTCTTGTTGCGCAGTCTGCTGGATTCATCTGTATATGGCCGCAGTCTACCCTATGTCCAGCATTTTCGAGGTGTTCTACGATCTTGCCGATTTCGCATACTCTATTTCTTATGAATGGACTTGACTCTGGTTCTTGTGTTACACCCAGCTTAAAGCGATTTCGGAGTCGATAAGCACTATTGCTTGCTTTACCTGTATTACTTGTCTTATCTGTTTCAAAACTGCGTTGGTTAGTCTCATTGCTAACGTGATTGCATTGAGTTCCATTTTTGGAATGGTGATTTTGATTTTACAGTGGGAGTTTTCCTTTTGCCATAAATATCTGTACGTTCTAGTCTGTTTTTATCTAAGTACAGGTTGCCATTGCTTCCGTACTAGCGTCGGCGAATGAAATTATAGAGGCATCTGTTGCTTTTGGATGAGTTTCCTTGTTGGGACTTTGTGGAATCCTTGCATTCATTGACATATTTTCTTCCATTCTGTTTGATGTTCTTCCGAAAGTGTCTCATCCCAGCCGATTTGTTCATTGTTTGTAAGTAGATCTTGGTCGGCATGGAATGATGTTGTAACGTTGTCTCGTCGCGATTCAGTCGCGACGATCAAGTCGCGTGAAGCCTGTCTGGGGCCTACATATTGCTGCAATCGCGCTGGCTACTTTTCGTTTGTTAAGTTCATCGGTCGTACCTATTGAGCAATTGATCTCAATGGTATCTTCTTCCGTATTCCACTTTATTGCCAGTACTTTAGCTATCAGATCCAAGCTTCTGTCCTTGTGGTTCATTTATGATATTGTTTGTTCACAATTGGATCCAAATTCTCGTAGATTCATCTGTAACGCGTTAAATATCATCTTTGTTCTTCGGTAAATTCGGATTGCTTCTTTCGAGTTGTTCATGGTGAAAGTCAGGTTGTTTACATACAAGTTTTGTTTGGTTTCTTGTATGGGATTCAAGTTATCCTTGTACTGATCAAGAAGATAATGAGTGGTTGCTGCTAAGAGGAAGGGAGAACACAGTAAGCCGAATGTTATTCTTGTGAATCGAAAGACCTTCAGATTTTGTTTGTTTGGCGATTTATGGTGATTACGAAGCCACAAACATCTTGTTGCGTCTCTGTCTTCCTCCTGTACTTGTAATAACCCTACACCCTACTAAAACCCGTCTACACCTGATATCATGGCGATGTCCCTCACCCGAAAACGCAGTAGAATCCCGAAGAGTTTGGGGAGTATTACCGGTCCTCGGATGCTTCATTCACTGATGGTTTGTTTTTGAAATGCGCTGAGGCATCAAATACTATACGCAGTTTCGTGGTGGTTTTCTGCGGAGTTATCATTGCTTGGTGTAGAATGTAGTGAATTATTGGTCCTTCTGCTTTACTTTCGTCCTTGACCTCCTCAATGATGTTTGCTTCCAGTTGGTTTCGAAAGACTTCATGATATTATTCTAACAGCTGTGGGTCTTTTTGGAGTGAGTTCCATACGCTGATGAGTATTCTGAAAGCTATGGGTTTGTTGTCTGGTAGGTCTGTCGAGGTTTTTCGCCATAATAATCAGACATAATAGCCATCCTGTCTCTTTTGTATGGTATTTCTGAAGTTGTCCCAGACCTGTTGGTCGACTTGGGCTAGTAGACTTTCTCTGTGCTTGCGATTCTGTCCCCTCTTTTTCCATCATCCAATATGCTTCCCATTTCTGTTTTTCCTCATTTCCTATCTCGTCTTCATCCTCAGAAATCCCATTTAATTGTGCTTCTAGTGTCCAATACTTATCTCATGTCTTCTAAGTCTGTATCCCACCTGTGCAATTTGATGTTCTTTATGCACTTGTCCTGTGAGGAGGAGGCCGAGTTTCGTCGGCAAGAGACCTGAGGGCAATTTAACATGTGGAGTATCTTCATTTGCCATAGTTGATCGCAGCCTAACAGAATCAGCGGTTTGTAATCCTTAATCGTTTTCAAATTCAATAATTGCATAAATTGCATGTCTTTTTCCAAAAGTGGTGGTATCTTCAAGGGTTTTGTGAGGGTGTTGTACGTTAGTAACTGTAGTTGGTACGCGTTGCCTTCAGCATCCCATGCTTCAAGTTTTACTTTACGACTTAGACTTTCGTTGACTTTTTCTGATCCGAAAGTACTCAACTTCAGCATAGTTGTTTCTATTGTTGGTAGATGTAGTTCTTCTGCTAAGTTCTTATCTATGGAAGATAATTCTGCACCTGTGTCTAGAAGAACTGGAATTTTGTGTAAATTTTTTTTAGTGATTAGGTTCACGACTTGTATTTCTCCCGTTGGGAGAAATGTCGAACTGGTTCTTGATACTTCTTTTGATGTTTGAAATTCTTAAATAGTCGTTTCTCCATCCTCACTTTTTTGTCTCATTTGGTGGGTCTTCGCTGAAGTTACTGGAGATGATTTTGTTTGCGCCGGACGAAGGTTTCTTAATTCTTTCGGCTTTGTCTCTTTCTCTTCTTGGTATGCTTCGCGTTTGTCCTCTCCCGTCATCCCCTTTTTGAAACAGCATGAAGTCTGGTGCGGTTCTTGGCATTCAAAACACATTCGTTTCTTGCAGTCTGCTGTGATGTGTTTTGGAGATGCACAAATAAAGCACAATTTGTGCTCCCGCAGGTATTGTGTGCGTGAATGAGGAGTTGAGTACTTTGTGCATGCTATGGATTCATAATCTTCTCCACAATACGTGCATTTGTTTATCCATTTACTTGGTTCTTGTTTCCCTCTATGGAGTATAGGAGATACGGGGTGTTGACGAGGAGTCAATTCTCGGTAAAAAAGGATACCTTTTCTTTCGTTGTAATAGATTCTTCTAAAAGCTTGAGTAGTGTTTCCATCCCAAAGGTGTTGTCTGCTTGTATATACTTGCGTTCCAACACTTTCCTTTGTAGTCTGATCGGAAACTTTGAAAGTATTTGTTTTATTTTACACTGATTATCTACGTGTTCATTTTTTTCTTGTGATTGTGCCACAATTGCTTAATCTGCCCTAGCAGTTTCCGTTAATCCCTTATAGTTGGTGATATCAACATCTTTTCCAGTCTGTCATATAGCCTATTTATTAACTGTTCATTGTCTCCATATTTAGTTCTTAGAAAGTTTATGGCGCTTAGTTGTCTTGTGACACTCTGAACTTCTTTACCGCTTGTAGAGGTTTACCTCTGAGAGTTAAGCAAGTAATTAAACTTGTATAACTCTGGTAGAGGCTGTGAGTTCACATTTGTGTCGAAAAGTGTCTAAAAGTTATCCCATTCCCATAAATCTGCATAAATAATTGGAATCGGAAGTGTTGGTAACTGTGTTCTTTTGACTCCTACCGTTCCCTCTGTTGTCGCGTTACTACCGTTTTTCTGCGGTCGCGAATCGCGCTGGTGTGTAGGACATGAAAGCATTTACTCTGTTTTTTAAAAGTAGTATATAGTCTAAAAAAGCTCAAAGTAATGTTTCCCCTTTACTTGTATATTCTTCGCTCTCCTCACTTTCTTTCTCATTCAATGATTCACACTTGTCTATTGCTAATGCATAATTTTGAAGAAGTTCTTGTATTTTGGTATTACAGGTTTCAATTGCCCCTATTCCTTTTTCTAATCTTCGATGACTCTCCCTTATGATGCGCGGTGATGTCTCTTGATCAGGAAGTTTGATTGTTTTCAACTGTTCGGACTTGAAATGCGCGATCACTGTCTCTAATTTCTTGCAGGATTTCGATAACAGACGCTTGCATGTCGAAAGTTGCGCTGTCATTGCGGTTGACTACTAACAAAGATCTGAAGCGCGATAAGAGTGGTCGAGTGAAATGAATGACTTGACATACAATCGATTGATGATTAGCGCTTAAGCTAATATTCCCGGAATGTTGATCAACTGTAACTTCGACTTGTAATACAGCAGCAGATGCAATTTGACTTGTTTTGCGCAGAAGAGAGTGCGAATGTGTCAAGATACAGTATGATTGCTGAATTTGAACTTGTCTGACAGAAATATGAACTTAAAACTGCGTTAGAAGAGCAAACACAGTCCTACTTGTATCAAGAAATTGTTAATAAGCTTGTGTAACCAACATCTTGATTTGCTCCGGTCCGACGTTGCCGATGCACCAGTTGTGTTGAGATAACTCGATATATTTAGAACAATAACCCTCGAAGACCAAGAGACGCACTATACTTGATGACTTCCACGCGGGCTTATTTGTGTTGAAACGTACCTCAACTCAAACTTGGGTGATTAAACCGTTTGCTTAAGAAATTATAAAAGAAAACCCGACAAAATAACAGGCACAAAATAAACATAAAACAACATAACAAGTACAAAATGAGTAGTAATACTAAATGATACACAGAAATATTGATGAAAAGGATATAAGAAGAAACATGATTGCTACGACACTTGTTTATCCCTTTCTACGCAATACTTGATTTCCATACTTGCCTTTTATACGGTTTCGTAGGATTGTTCTTGAAATCAGAAGAAAAAGAGCACAGAAACTATTCAAAATTCCAGCAAATATGAGTCTACGTGGCACAAGCTTATATACTTTGATAACAGATGTCACAGGAAGATCCGACAGAAAAAATGCAAATATGAAAAATGATACTTGCGTGAGCACCGAGAAGCTGCATAGACGATGATCGTTCTGTTATCGGTCGTTCCATCTGGGGCCGGCTCCTCGCGCAGACGTAAACAAAGCATTCTGAAAGAAAAGCTTGGCGAAAAATAATAATAATGTATTGGATCAATACATACTTGAGTATTTTTAATTGAAGTCGTGTTCACGACACACTTCCCTTTCAAATATCAAAACGGTTCAGGCTGCTCGTGGCATGCGTTATCTCCATAAGAAGAATTGCATACATCGAGACTTAGCAGCTAGAAATTGCCTGATATCTGCCAAAGGTGTGCGTTCATCAAAAAGGTGTCATCTTCTAAGTAACTGAAAAATTATCTACTCTCCAGGACAAATGAAAATAGCCGACTTCGGACTTTCAAAACTAGTGAATGATCTGGAAAAAGCAGATGCTGAAAGTGTAGGCAATGAACATAGTCCACAAATACCTTTAAGGTAAGATGCCTCAAATCTGTCTCTCTACCAAAATTGGCATGATGCGGGTGGACACTGCCATGGCTTCATCCCATGTCTATGGCATGTCATTTGAAACGTAGGATCTTTCTGTATCTACATGATGCTTTCCATCCAGAAAGGAATGAGTGGAGCGACTAATCTCATATCTTTCACTTTAAACGGGTATTTAAATGACCACCTTCACCTGTGATGAAATAGAGGGTTAAGAAGCAGAAATTGATATTGACAATAGATAAGTTTTTATTTGGTAAAAAAACAGCAGCTGCTTTTTATTCTGGGCATACATTACTGCATTCTCAGACGACACGGCAACAGCAGCGTTTTCATGTATGAGCCTCCTGCCTCACTCAGACGTGGTATTCTAACAAGGAAACATGACTTATAATAGATCGTTTACCTGATTGTCTTCGAAAACGACAGGAAGGACAATTTTTTGAGGTATGTTAAGATGCAAAAAGCAGTAAGAGTCGCATAACAAGGGAAAATGACTGAAAACTATTAGATTGAAAACGAAATTTTGCAATTCATCAAATAATCTTGCTCTCATTCTATATGAAGCACTCAACTTGCCTATATACGGATTATGATTTCGCCAAATTCTGATGTCGCAGTGAGGATTACTCTAGGTGTATGGTATGAAGAGAAAAATTACAAATCATTGCGGATTTGGCTAAAACATGGCGTAGGGGATTATCCGACATGCAGATCACGAATAACATACTGAATCTGAGCTTTATCTTTTTTTGTATCTTTTTTGTATGAGCTTTTCTGTAATATTAGTGTAGCTTTCATATAAGATCTCACCCTAGGCTTTGGAAAATACGTTAATTTTGCAGTTATATGATGTTCGTGTTTAGCAGGTCGAATAACTCACTATGTGTAGTCTCTGCGATTTTGACTTTTTCACTCCTTAGTCATTAATGATTGTCTCCACCAGCCTTGCGTACTTCAACTTCGTGAGCTCGCTAGATTTCGGTTTGTCTTTCAATTCTATTTTCTTTCCTACTGAGCCAAACAAGTCAGCCTTAAGCATAATTCGCATACAGGCTCGAATCATTATGCATGATTTGGGTCGCAAACGGCTTCGTTTTTGGTTACAACCTCATAAATCCTCAAAATTCACTTGAAAGAATGCTTTTGAAAGAATGCTTGTGATTTTTTATTTCGTTTTCAGTAGTCAAACAGTTTGTCTAGGTTGTAGTACACACTGAGATCTACATATAGTCAGAATTTGATGCGCCACGTCCAAAGAGAGTGAAATTATGAAAGCAGTTGCAAAACTTGTTTTCAACCTAATACTCATGGCTAGCGGTTAGTCGATTCAAATATGATCGAAAGACCATACCATTACATGAGTTTAGATACGTTCCATGACGGCCAATGCAAGCTGCGAAATAGATTTGGAGCATTGGTATAATTTTATGTATTAGGCCGTTCCAAAAATTCTTTCCATTTTTATGACCTGTCATACAACCATTTAAAATAAGGATGGACAACACTTCGAAGATTCCAATGCAATCTTCTTTTTTTGCGGTCATGTTTCTATTAGGGTGAACGGTGAAAAATGGGACAGCTTGATTTCTATTACATTTTAAGATTTTTTGTCCTCACCAATAACAAGCAGGCTGCAACTCAAACGTCGCTTACATAACCGGCCTTCGCCTATTATTCTGGCAACGCGTTACCGCTCCTCTCTATAACCGTATACGCGCGGCGTCGTGAAAAACTCCGACAGGATTTTTTGAGCAACTCTCAAACTTGCACTGCTATACCGTAAAGTCGTAAAGCAAATGACATACCATTCGAAAGAGGTTTTCATGCTCTTCTAAACGATATGTTAAATGCCTAAGATTTCTTTTCAATTTCAGGAAAAATTGCGAAAAAACCTGGAAAATAGCTATTTTTGGCGCAACAAAAAACCAAAAAATTATGTTTTGCCCTACATTTTCCAAAAATAGACAAAATCTGAGGCAAGCTGCACATGGATGGACAGAGCGTAAGAAGCTCTATCAGATGGTACCTAGAAAACGTGCGTTCACCTGGAAGGAATTGAATAACGCGTATCTTCGTTCTCGAAGCTGCTAATGGCCATATCTCCTGACTTTGAACGTTGAGGCCACCAAGCCGTCGTGGGTTTGGTGACTGTCCCACCACCCACTCCAGCAGTAGAACTTTGGGTGGTCTCACATGTTTCACTGCGCAGATACTGCTCAAAGTTCATAATTTGTCGAAGTGACTAACTTTACATTTCAGCAAGCATAAAGATTATTAATTATGCAAATGACCTTATATAGGTATTATCTGAAAGAGAATAACATATTCTAACATCTGTCAAAATTGGAATGTCTAATCACTTCTCTTTCTTGAGAAACCTCCAGTTATTTCGTAAGTGTCCCATTTTTTACCGTTCACCCTAATAGACCAACTGATTTGTGGTCGCTAAAAGATTAGTCAAATTTACAAGCTCATGGTAATTGCAACGCCCAAGTTTAGCATTTTTTCAAAAATTCCAGCTTCAGCTCTTGGAATAGCTGCGATACAGGTACACAGAGTAAGCGAAGTGCATTACAACAATTTGTTTAAGCATGTCCGACTAGATTTCCCGTATTTTCCAGAATGATTTTTGCAAAAAGTCTTCACTTTTGCAAAGTCGTGTGTTACACGGAAGCAGCAACACTGAAAAATCTTTGGTGGGGAGCTGTGAAACTCGATCAACATTCGACCTCGTTTTACATGACAAAATGAGCTCTCTTCGCTTTGGGATATCAAATCGAAATTTTGGGTAAACCCCTAAAGGGCATTTGAAATTCACAGTTTGGATGATTTCATCTCCGAATGTTCTACAAATCAGGGAGAAAAACGCCTATTAGAAAGAGAGAAAAAGCTGCATTTTGCCCGAGTCGCGCGTTGGTTCATGTTCTGTGAGGTTTGTCTGAACCAAATATGGAGTTTGCTGACATCAGAAAATTAATTCTGGTGATTTCGAAAAGGCAGCTGAAGTTCCGATAAAATTTGTAGTGTTGCACTTTATTCGTCCTACCCGGCTATTAAGTGAACTGATGTCTTCGTAGAATCAGTAGAAAAATTTAGAAAAATAGAGAAATTTGAGCCCGCAATTACAAATCGGAGTTTTGGTAATATTCTGAAAGCTCGCTGGTTAAGCTGGAACGAAAAATTTACCATTTGAGAGGGCATCGAATGCTCTCAAAAGCTTTTCAGAAGCTTTCGTTTTGCAAACTGTTATGCTCGTGATTTCTCAAAAACTGATGAAACTCTAAAGCAATAAGTATTAGGGTGGACGGTAAAAATGGGACCCCTAAATAACTGTAGATTTCTTGAGCAGGGGAAGTGATTGAACTCTCCAATTTGCTGAATATTGGAATATTTTGATCGCTTTCAGATAAGGTGATTAACGTACTTAATAAATTTTATACTTGCTGGAATGCAAAGTTAATCGCTTCGACAAGTTGTAAACTTCAAGAGCAGTTGAAACATATGAGATTATCTAGTACCACTGCTGCAATGGATGAAGGTACAGTCATCAAACACTCCATGGTTTGTTGGCCGCAACGGTTAAAGCCAGGAGATATGGTCATTAACATTTTCTGGAACGAAAATACGTGATTTACTTGCAAGCGAACGCATGTTACCTGGCTGCTATCTGATAAATCGCTTTACGCTCTATCCATTCCTTAGGGATTTACATCAATTTTCATCTGTCTTCGAAAGATTCAGGTTAAAACATGATTTTTGGTTTTTCTTGCGCCGAAAAATCGCGATTTTTCGGTATTTTGCACATTTTATCCAGAAATAAAAAGGAACCCGATTTGTTCAATATATTGCTTGAAAGAGCGTGGAGGGCCCTTTCGAACGGTATGTCACCTGCTCTATAACTTTACGGTATAGCAGCGCAAAAATGAGCGATGCTCAAAAACCATACTTGAATTTTTCGCGGTGCCACGTGCACGTGCAGGGTTGTGGGAGAGGAGCGACAGCGCTTTACCAGAATAAAAGGCGAAGACCACTTATGTAAGCGACATTTGAGGTGCAGCTTACTTGCTGTTGATCTAAACAAGAAATCTAAAGTAGTAAAAATTTGTAAAAACTAGCTGGCTTACCCGGCTCCGCCGTATGTTCCGAATAAAAAATTCCATTTCTTAATCGATCCGGACCAAACTTGGCCACATACACTTCGGGCCCCGGCGGGTGTCACAGTCCACTTTTCGTTATCGATCGATGTCGATTTTATCGATTTTTTGCAAAGATTGAGCTACGGGGCTGAGAGTTGGCACAGGGGGGTAATCGAGCATGCTGATCACCCCCACGGGGGTGATCAGAAATAAAATTTTTTATTCGGAACATACGTACACGCAGACATACAGACAGACAGACAGACAGACAGACAGACAGACATACAGACAGACAAACAGACATTCAGCTTTATATATAAGATTAAGCTGTCCCACTTTTTGCCGATCAAGATAAAAGTAAAGCCGCTCAACCTAGATCATGCAGAACGATCAAGAAAATCATACATGAACTTTTGGTAGGAATTGACGTAATTAACTCAATAAAAATGAATGGAATTTGAAAAAAAACTAGAGATCTGACGTGCTCACAAAGCTGAAGGAAAAGCTGTGCGCAAGGCTGTATGCGGACAAGCGTCAATGACTAAAGCATCGGAATCTTGTAGCCTTTTCGCACCTGCACAATCTGCACAACGGCAAAATTTGTGGTCGTCACACAGTGGGGGGGGGGAGTTAGGAAAATAGTTGTAAAACTTAGTTAACAACCTAATATATGTGTACATATGTTCCGAATAAAAGACTCCATTTCTGAACCGATCTGGACCTAACCTTGCACACATACACTTCGAGGGGGGCGGATGTCATAGGTTACTTCATGTTATCGACTGACAACGATTTTATCGAAATTTTTGCAAAGCTCCATGGTCTGGGAGTTGACAGAAGGGGTAAACG